CACAAATGAATTTTATCGGACTACCGTAGTAAACCCTACAGTCACCATTCTTCGATGTGACCTTCCATGCCCCTGAAATGTGCCTCCTCTCTGGCGCACCTTCGGTGGATTGGGTATCATTGTCCTAGGACTAAGAAGAGACAAAAATACCAACTCATAGCATAAACATGCTACATATTCCGTATGAAGCACACATGTGGGCTGTGAGGACTACTTACAAATCTTGGTTAGTTCACAAACAAGAGGCATTGCAAAAAGGTTTCTTTTAGATGATTGAATAAACCGTCTTATTATTTCTTCGGTGATGAAGAAATCTCAAGTACAAGAACAGAGTTTCGGGGTTGCAACACCTCAAATTCGATCGGGCCCCTTCACAAATGTTCCTTGGTTTGACATCATGGGCCCGTCACGCGCTCATACCGGTGGTTAGCTAGCCACATAACAGAAAAACGACGAAAGACCTGATACTAGAGCAAGTTACGGATGGTAAAATAAATATATCAACTGCACCCGAGGTGAGCATACACATGGAAAAGAAAAGATTGCTGGATAGTGAGCTGCGGCCCACTAGCTAATACGTGAAGGCGAGTGATAGTTCAAACTCGCCCTAGTTGATAAATAGCCTGCTCGGTTTTGTTTGGGATATGCATACAAATTGGCCCCCTAATAAAGTTGCAGGGTACTGCCTTTGAGTAAGGATACCTAGTCGGGGGAGGGGACTTGTCGGTGAGTAAGGATATCTAGTTGGAGGGTACTGCCTTGCGGGTGTATTTGGACCAACTCAACCAAAAGATAGTGTCTCCTAAGGGCGATGGCCCCATGTTCATTGTGCCACACATAGACAAACTGAGTGTGCCATGACATCAGAAGCTATCAACTTGTAAGCTAGCTCTTCATAGATTAGATCTACTCTAATCATCTTGTTTTTTTTTCTGGAATACTAATCATCTTGTTTATCAACAAAGATACGTAGGCAGAACATATAATTTCTACCCATCCAGGATGGACCTGTGTAAACACATTGATTGAAAAAACACTCACAACCTTCAACACGGACACAAAAGCAACACACGAGTCCTTTTTTGCGAGGGAACATTATAATTAATCTTGATCAGACACGACATAAGAATTGTTGATCACTGCTTCCATTCGAAAATGCAACCCAAAAGACATGCATCGCGTGCCTAGCAGTTCATGACCTGACATTTTCTGCTAGTACTACCATACCAGTACCAACTACTAGAGTAAAAGGCGGATGGATTACGGTTATCATGGATCATTCTTATAATAAGGTTATAATGAGACTTGGCGCCGTGGATGGATCAGAGCTTGTCAATGCGAACACCGAGGAAGAGGTCTTCGCTCTCGCTCCCAAAGTCCGGTGGCACCAGGAGGCACACCGGCGGCCTTTCACCGGGAAGATTGCCGCTGCTGCTGCTCGGCACCGTGGACAGACGACGAAACAAATTTTCCTCCGTGTTGCTCGCAACCTCAGCCCAGACCGTGGACCTGAAGCGGGGCGCCGCCGCCGCCGTGCCCTCCCGCACGCACACCACCGACACAGCGGTGGCCTCGCCGAACTCGGACAGGGTGACGAGGAACAGGCGCGGGTCGTTCCGCTCGACGAGGAGGTGCGTGCCGCCGCCGCGCCACGGAGGCGGCACGGCGATCCTGAACGGGGTCCCGTAGCTGACCTCCGTGACCGGCCAGGAGTGGGCGGCGGCGATGTGGTCGAGGAGGGCCGGCGGGGAGGCCCACATGCTGCAGCCGTGCCCCGGGCAGTGGCAGGGCGCGAAGGCGCACTGCAGCGCGTGGTCGGCGGCCTCGTGGTACATGAGCTTCCTCCCGCAGCCGTCCGCCTTGTAGCAGCACGGCAGCTGCACGGCGCCGAGCGCGTCGTCCATGAAGGGGAAGGGGATGTAGGCCGCCGGCGGGTCGCACGCCGTGCAGCGGTCGCCATGGCACCTGCCGCACACCCTGTGGCCGCCCTCGCACTGCACGCAGTCAGTCACAAATCAAGCTATTGTATCGATGGAGAAGAATCGCCGACTAGCTGCTAGACATGCATTACCTGGTGCACAGGAGGCCTGAGGGGAAGTTGGCATGCAAAGCAGAGATAGAAGAGCGGGTTCACCTCCGCGGCCACCCATGGAACCTGCATGGCTTCCTCCACCGCCAACAGCGCACCTTCGCCGCCTTGGCTCTGCCTCCTCTCTAGCCCTTCCTGCTTCACCGCCATGGGCTCCTCCTCCTGCAACCTCGATTTCTTGTTGCTCGGCTCGCCGCCGTTCTCCATGGTTGGCAAAGGTGGAAGGCCAAGCAGAAAATGCAACACGGCTCAACTTATGCACGCAGTACTAGTAGAAGCCAAAGGGGTAAACGATGTGGCGTGTGAAAACAGCACAAAACACTTCGTGGGGACTTGCTCCACACAATTACTACTATGCGCCCATCAGCCACCCGCATGATAGGCATTAACTCGCCTAGTACTACTGCATGCATACTCTTCTGAACACAGCACACTTTGTGAGGATTGACTTCAAATGCAAGGCTGCCTCGTACTCTGAGTCCAATTTTTGTGATCAACAAATGTGTGTTTTATACTAAAATATAAACCATTAGATTCATATTCAACATTGTAGTATACATTTTATGTGTCATGTAATTTATATTTTTTGGGTGAAATAGGCGATCAAAATTAGAGCAAATCTAGCAGACTCACCAAAAGCCATATGGAGCATGCTTTATAATTTTTTGGAGGTTTGTGTTGGGTCCGTGAGCAAACACAAATTCGTCAAATATAATATCTTTCTCAATGGGGCATAATGGGCCTGGGTTGCAAGAATAGCCGAAGAATCAAACCTTCAAGGAGACAAAGCTATTCCAGACGAAGTCGGCGAAGGGCGCATCAACCCGTCCAAGATAGCAGAATTCGAGGTCAGGTGCGTCTAGTGCACCAGTAGGTGCACCTAGACATAAGAGCAAATATAATAAGGTGAAGTAGGTGGATTACAAAACTACAAACAATATACTTCCTTCTTTTCTTTTTAGTCTGCATATAAAATTTGTTTGAAGTTAAAGTTTGTAAATTTTGACCAACTATATAAGAAAAAAATATCAACATTAACAATATGAGATCAATATCATGAGATGTGTCATGAAATTATTTTTCATACTATATAGCTAAATGTTAATATCTTTTAACATAAATTTGGTCAAACTTTATGTAGTTTGACTTCAAACAAAATTTATATGCAGAATAAAAATAAACAGATTGATGAGTTGGAGAAGAGAGAAGAGAAGCGGGCTACAGATTAACAACCTGCTTCAACACGTGCTCATAGAGATTTTGTGAAAGAGAGAGGTGGGTCATGTAAATAAGTAGTACATATTTACATCTAAGTATTATACTTGCCGGCTATAGGTTTTGCTATAGATGACGTTGCAACATCATATGGCCATCAGTTGTTGAATAATTAACTATGCTCATCATTGCCAAACCACTGATGAATTTATTTCACACCAATATTTTCTTAAATTTAAACTTAATATTCTCAGATATTTTCTATAATAATAAATTCAAGCTTCATACTGATCACTAATAAATGTAAAATATGTAAGTGTAAATCTTCTTATTTTTTTCAAGTTGTTGTTGATATGAACATAAGAATGGAAATCTGGAGGCATACAAGATATACACTTCGAAGAGATCATTTCAATGCAAAAAATGTCATCGCCCAACTTTCTACCTTTTTTTCTTCCAGTATATTGGGTGTCTTGCCAATCATAGAGTCCCTTAGTTTTGTAGTATGTATATCCATACTTTGGTTAACCCATCATATGTTGAAAGATTACCCCGGCCTCTGCATCCAGCAATGCACACAATCATTTATTAAAATGAAATGAGTATCAAAGTAGGAGTACAATTGATATCTCCAGTAGCTAATCAAGATCAAGAAAGTAAACTGATAGCCACACCCGCGAAAATAGGACACCATGCATAAACACCTACCCTATAGTTACACCGCAATCCAAACTGTTTGTATGTAGTCCGTGTTACTGTCTCCCATAGGTTGCACCCAAAGGCCATAAGCTCTTTCATTTTTGCATGGTATAGTAATGATCACATACGGATTCATCCACACGTTGGTAGATAACCTGTAAAAAGTACTCCCTCCATTCCAAAATAGATGACCCAAAGGACACATGTATTTTGGAGTACAAAATAAGGCATCTATTTTGAAACGGAGGGAGTAATGGTATTTGTCCTGTTAAACACACAATCATTCCGAAAATTCTACATAGCCCAAAGTAATGCACAAACTTCCATGCGAATTTGTGCCACTATATTAGGCTCAACCCCACCTAACCAGTTACCAAACAGATTGGGAATACTATTAGTTGGAGGTACATTAAAGGACACATGCATTTTTTTGCCACAATAGCTTGGCTAGTTGGAATGCGAGAAATAAATGTTGAATCTTTTCCTTGTGGTCATAAGCACAACACCGTTTACTCCCCTCTCACCTACTCCCTCCGTCCGGGTTTATTAGGCCTCTCAACATCACAAGCATGTCCCCTTTTATAAGGCCCCGCTTTGGAAAGGTGCATGCATGCAACTATTTTATTGGTTGCATTGAAAGTCATTGTTGTTGGTGACATGACTGGAAAATCAATACACTTCATGTGTTCTTTTTCATTGGTTGCATGCATGTGAGAGAGTGCATTGGGAGTGGAGTAGAAGAATTAATGTGAACAAATTACTATGTGCCTTGGTCTAAGAGAAGTTGTCTTTAGGCCTAATAAATCCAGACGGAGGGAGTATGTTTTACCAAGTTTAACTTCGTTGGTATCACAAGGCACATAAAAATCTTGTTTTTTAAAGGAACCTTTGTTTTCTAGATATGGATAGACCGGATTGGTCCATTATTAAGCAAGTTCACATACAAAGATTTAACAGAAAGCATGCCCGTATCAGAAAGGGACCGTCGGAATACATCTGGCTCATTAGAAAAGTTGACCTCTATCAACCTACAAACTTGCAACCATCGATCCATCATTTCCCAACTAGTGCCCGCCTGAATTGTATATTTAACGGAACCGAACATAATATTGTACTCACAAATATGCGTCTTTACACTGCACAATATTATAAAGTGTTTGATAATGCAGATCTAGAGGCATCTCCCCAAATCAAGTATACTTAAAAAATCTAGTTGTGTGCCCATTCCTACTAATAATTTTACCATTGTTGAAGATTGTTATCTTAGTTGTCAACAAACCCTTCCAAAAGGGGGAATCATTCGGCTGTGCCATTACTTGCACTAAAGTTTTGGAGTGTCGATATCTTTTAAACCATAACTATAGCCACACCCCCTTCTCCCTAGAGGATAACCGATAAAACCATTTACTAAGTAGGCACTTATCTTCCACTTCTAGATTTTCAATCCCCAAACCCCCTTAGTCTTTTGGCCTACACAATATGCTCCACTTAACTAGACTGTATTTTATTTTATTCTCGTCACTTCGTCAAAAGAACCACAACCTATAGAAGTCCAATCTTTTCCGTACCTTAAGGGTATTTCAAAGAAAGATAACATGAACATCGATATGCTCATAAGCACATATATAGCTGATAAGTACGAGCATACCCCATAAGATATAAGTTTTCCCTTCCAACAACTTAGTTTTTCTTAAAACAATCTTCAATACATTTTTATTCTTTATTTGTTATCTTTATGTCATGAATTGGAATCCCAAGATAATTAAATGGAGGGACCCAATCTCATAGGCAAACAATTGTCTGTAGTTTTCATGTTCCTCCTTATCGCATCCAAAGCAAAACAATTCACATTTATGGAATTTTATTTTCAGCCTAGACAGTTGTTCAAAGAGACATAAAAATAGCTTCGTATTTCTCGCTTTGGACATATCATGCTCCCTGAAAATTATAGTATCATCATCATAGTGTAGGATGGAGACACTCCCGTCCACGAGAAGTGGGATGAGCCCCCCTACCAGATCGTCCTCTTTGGCTCTACCAATTAGGATTGCCTTGCAACAATATTGAATAGAGTAAGGGACATCGGATCACCCTGATGCAATCCATTTTATGTCTGGAAATCATGACCTGCATTCTCATTTACCTTGACCCCGACACTGCCTCCTTGTATGAAGGACTCGACCTGCTTCCTCTAGGCCGAGTTGAAACCCTTCCTACGCAAATCTTGTTGTAGAAATGGCCACTTAACTTTATTAGTAAGCCTTCTTAAAATCCATTCTGGAAACAACTCCATCCAATTTTTTTGAAATGAATTTGGTGTAAGGTTTCATGTTGAACCACAACACCCTTTAGAATGTGTTGCCCATGCTTGAAAGCAGTCTGAGTCGGCTAAACCATAGAATGTGCAACCTGCGTGAGATCATTAGTTCCCACTTAGGTAGAAATCTTAAAGCTAACTTTGATCAAACAAATCGGTCTGAAATGCTCAATGCAAACTGCTACATCCTTCTTAGGTAGCAATGTAATAGTCCAAAAGTTAAGCTGAAGCTGGCCATTAAAAGATCATGCATCATGGGCATCAAGTCACCCTTAATAATCTCCCAACACTTCCAACATGGCGCCTTATTATTCTTCATTTGTGTGATAGCCTCAAACACCTCCTTTTTATAAAAGGAGTATTGTGCACCTCATTCTTCTTCGCACAAAGCTGTGGGATATCCTCCATTGGCCCCTCATCTAAAAACACAAAATTCTCTACCGAAGCCCCAAAGAGCTTTTCATAATAGAAATTCAATATATACAACTTAAGGTTCTTGGACCTACTATTGTACCCTCATCTTGTTCAAGTTAGACAATTTTTTCCTGTGTTTTTCATTGGCAATCGGATGGAGAAACTAAGTATTATTATCCCTTTGTACTACTTATCGTACCTTAGCTCTTAGTGCCGCTTCTATCTCCTTTTTTCTGAGGATTTGTTTAATCTTTTATCAAACTCGTTGATGAGATTTAAAGGTCTTTTCTTTTCCACTTTATAATCCCACTAGCATTTTTAGCCCAACCCTGTAAAAAATTTCTTAAATGCCAGATCTTATACTGCCACTTTTCGACATTAGACTCCTCCTCGGTTTTCTTTACCCCACTCCCTGGCTACCAATTCTAGGAAGTCCTCCCTTTCAAACCATGAGGCTGGCCATAGTGGGAGTAACATAAGGCTGGTTGTAATGGAGAGTATCATATACTAGTATCATGCATATGATACTAGTGTATGATACTACCTCCCTAATGCATAGTAT